GTCTACATATCTATATAAAGATTGAATGAATAAAATGTTTTATAAGAAATAGTTTATTTGCCTAGTATTAATGTACTTAATCAGAAAATAATCATTCTTATAAGGAGAGCAAATAATATATTAACAGTGAAGAGGCTTGAAATATACCACTTTGTTGGTGGGGGGAGCAGTACTAGGGATTGAACCCAGGACCTTGTGCATGCTAGGCAAGTACCCTACCACTGAGTATCTGCAGTGCTTTTAATTTTTTTTTTGTTTGTTTTAAGACTGGGTCTTAATAAGTCACCCAGAGTATACTTCAGTTTGTGATCCAGCTCCCTCAGCTTCCCAAGTAGCTGAGATTATAGGCATGTGTCACTGGCCCAGCTAGACACAACTTGTATCAAGTTATCAAATAAATACCATTAATGGGACAAATAAAAAAAACATGTGCCCTCTGATAAGAAACAATTAGGAGAACAAAGCTTTTCCTAAGATCTCTGATCTTCTTGCCAAAGGTATGTATAACCTGAATCTACTCATGAGTAAATATCAAACAAACCAAAATTGAGAGATTGTCCACAAATAAATAGTCTATATTCAAGATTGTCAACATTATAACCTCAAGAAAAGATAGGATCTGTTCCAGATAGCAATTTCATGTAGGTATTCCTTCTGTCACTTTTCCAGAAATTTAGTATTATTCCAAATTTTGTATCCCCCCAAATGTCAGTAGAGAAATTAGGAAGTAACAAAGAAGCACTCAACATAGAAATCATGATGATTTGAAGGAATCCACTCATGTCAAGTTCAAAGCAAGAGTACAAAACACTGACAGAGGGCTAGAAGTGTACCTTAATAGTAGAGCCTTTGCCTAGCATGCACAAGGCCTGGATTTGATCCCTAGCATTGCAGATGGTGATGATGATGATGATGATGATGATGATGATGATGATAGTAAAAATAAGAGGAGGATAAAGGAAACAGTTAAAAGTTGAGGAACTACATTTTCAGAAAGGAAGCCAGGAGTTTCTGAGAGGAAAAAGTCATGTTTTAAGCAGTTAGCCTGGGATATGTAGTTGTTAGATATGTGTATGTCTATGGCCCTTGTGTGCTGCTAACAGTCATTCTTGTAAATAAAATAAATAGTAATAAGTTTATGTGCATAGTGTACTTTACTCAAATCCTATGAACGGTGTCCCAAGAAAAAAACAAGCTTAGGAAGTGAAATAAATCCTTAAGTCGGCAATTCTGTATAGTGTTCTTGACCTTACTTAGGAGATCCAAATGTTATGCTATTTGAATACTTCCCAGCAATGTTTGCCAGTTGTGTTCTCATTGAGTAATGCAATATTCACTATGGAGAACAGTTATTTGCAAAGCCAAAAAAAGATTTTCACTATTTTTTTTAAAAAGGAAATAAGCTTATATGAGACAGCATGTTCTCCTAAAGTCCAAAGTGAAGATGCTTTTGAATGCAGTCATATCAGTTTGACTAACATCAACACAGAAAAAAATATTTTTTCTTAAATAGTGAAGACATTTTTTTCCTGGGTGGGAGGAGTGAAGACAGAGTAAAGATTTCCTATGTGTTTTTAAGTAATAGGAAAAAAATTTCTAACAGTCCTGTTTTGTCTGGCTTTCTAGAAGCAGAGAATTTTGTGTAAGAGCATTATGGAGGGGGTCCTCTCAGGAGAAGGAGATTAAAGGAGGCAGTATAGAGGGGGGAAAGCCCAGCAAGGATAAATTGGTGAGGCGTAAAGGAGCTTGGCAGAGTTTGCAAAACATGGATTATTAGTATCCTATGACCCATTTAATCCACACAGCAAAGTAAGTTTGTGTAGCCAAAGAAATGATTTTGTAATCAGCTGAGCATAGTGGTACACACCTGAAATCCCAGTGACTTGGGAAGCTAAGACAGGAGGATTGCAAGTTTGAAGCCAGCTTCAGCAATGTAGCAAGAACTTGTTTCAAAATAAAACAACAGCTGGGCTGGTGGTGCCTCCCTGTAATCCCAGTGGCTCTGGAGGCTGAGGCAGGAGGATTGTGAGTTCAAAGCCATCCTCAGTAAAAGTGAGGAGGTGCTAAGCAACTCAGTGAGACCCTGTCTCTAAATAAAATACAAAATGAGGCTGAGAGTGTGGCTCAGTAGTGGAGTGTCTCTGAATTCAGTCCCCAATACAAAAACAAAAAGGGGCTGAGGATGTAGCTTAGTGGTAGAAACCCCTGGGTTCAATCCCTAATACCAAAAAGGGTGTTATGATTAATTATTTTATATATTATTAGTACCTTAAAGTAGCTTTGTTCCCTTCCCTACCTCACTGCATATCATAAAACATAGTAATGTCCCAGTATAACCTCATATTTAGTTCAATGTGCACAGATTTCAAACTGTTTGTGCATATAGCAGAATAGTGAGAATGCATTTCTTTTTTTTTTTAAGAGAGAGAGAGAGAGGAGGGAGAGAGAGAGAGAGAGAATTCCAACATTTATTTATTTATTTATTTTAGTTTTCGGCAGACACAACATCTTTGTTGGTATGTGGTGCTGAGGATCGAACCCGGGCCGTACGCATGCCAGGCGAGCGCGCTACCGCTTGAGCCACATCCCCAGGCCCTGCATTTCTTTTATTTGCATTCATACTTATCCACTAGTAAACAGAGTTTCCCTTGGGGTATTTGATCTCTTAGTTTCAACCACCACCTCAACATTATTAACTCCTAAATCTTTGCCTCCCAGTCATCTCAGCCTATACAGCATCATTATTCGATCTGCCCCAGTATCCCACAATGTTTATACATAGTAGATGGTTCTTAAATATCACTCACTTAACTCAGGCTGGTCACTTATCACAAGGGAGGTATTGTGAAATTGAATATGTGATTTGGAGCCCAACTTCAGAAAAATTTAACTGGGCATTACTTAGCATTTCCAAGCTTCAATTTCTTGTCTGAGTTATAATGTGGGCTGAGGTTGTGGCTCAGTGATAGAACACTTGCCTAGCATGTATGAGGCACTGGATTCGATTCTCAGCACCACATAAAAATAAATAAAATAAAGGCATTGTGTCCATCTATAACTAATAAAAATATTTTTAAAAAGAGTTATAATGCCATAACATAAAAAGTATGGAGAGGGCTGGGGATATAGCTCAGTTGGTAGAGTGCTTGCCTCACATACACAAGGCCCTGGGTTCAATCCCCAGCACCACACACACACACAAAAAAAAAAAAAAAGAAAAAGAAAAAGACACAGAAATGATGGAGAAATTAAATGAAAGAATTTACTTGAAGCATATAGCCCAATGCCTGGAAATGGATAAGTACCTAGCAAATATTGGTTGTTCTTCTTTTGTGTTCAGTGTTTAAAATATTTATCTGTTCTGATTCTACTTTCTTAGGTCTTTTATTGAAGTTATCCTTTATTGAAGTTATCCTAATTTTCTTCTTACCAGACTCATCAAATTTCTATTGATTGATTGATACTGGGGATTGAACCCAGGGGCACTCTACCCCTGTACTACATTTCCAGTTATTTATTTATTTATTTTTGAGGCAAGATCTTGCTATTTTGCCAAGACTAGCTTTGAATGCAGAACTCTCTTGCTTTAGTCTCCTGATTAGCTGGAATTACAGGTGTGTGTCACCATGCCTGACAAAGAAGTTTTATAAAAGAACAGGAAACCTCAAAACAAGTATTATTTATTTCATTCACTAGAAATTTACTGTTGATGATCTTTTACTAAGACTTCATTTTTTTTAAATGGGGGAAAGGGTAGGGTTACATATAGTTGGGCATAATGCTGTCTTTCTTTTAAACAGCATGCTGATTATTTTTTTTTTTTAGTAAAAGTTACAATTTGGGAATTTGCACTTGGGAGATAGAAAATTTCTAGTATTGGGGCTGGGGTTGTGGCTCAGCGGTAGAACACTCGTCTGGCATGTGTGAGGCCCTGGGTTTGAGCCTCACCACCATTAAAATAAATAAATAAAATAAAGGTATTATGTGCAACTATAACTAAAAAATAAATATTAAAAAAGAAAATATGACCAGTACATTTCTCAATACTGTATCTGATTTTAATCTGAATTATTTGTGAACTCCATTTATATTTGTAAACAGGCTCTTATTTGATTTTATATTCAATTTAATGGTTTTCAACCCTGCCCCCCAACTTAGTATTTAGTATAGTCTAGAGATACATAACTAGAGGGTGACTGAGTATATTAAGTAAGTACTTCACAGTTCTGTATTGTCAAAGTAAATATACAAAAGAAGGCATAAGAATAAGTGGCAACTTCAGCTGGGCGCAGTGGCACATGCCTGTAATCCCAGTGGCCCAGAAGGCTGAGGTAGGAGGATCGCGAGTTCAAAGCCAGCCTCAGCAAAAGCAAGGTGCTAAGCAACTCAGTGAGACCTGTCTCTAAGTAAAATACAAAATAGGGCTGGGGATGTGGCTCAGTGGTTGAGTGCCCCTGAGTTCAATCCCTGGTACCTCCCCCTCCAAAAAATGATAAGTGGCAACTTCAAAGGGGAAAACTACCCAAGTGTCCTTCAACTAATCGATGGATAAATAAAATAGGGCCTATACATACAGTTGAATAATATTCAGCCACAAAAATTAGTCAAATGTATGCCCTAACATAGATGAACCTTGAAAACATTATGCTAAGTAAAAGAAACAAGACACAGAAAGCTGCATACTGTATGATTCCATTATATGAAATATCCAGAGTCAGCAAGTCTATAGACACAGAAAGTACAATAGAAGTTACCAGGGACGGAGATATGGGGAGTGATTGTTTACTGGGTACAGAGTTTCTATTTAGAATGATGAAAAAGTTCTAGAAATGGATAGTAGTGATGGTTGCACAGCATTGCAAATGTACTCAGTGCTCCTGCATTGCATACTTTAAATGATTCAGATGTTATATTTTATGTGTGTTTACCACAATTGAAAAAGGAGGGGTTGGGGACTCAGATGTCATTATTATAAGCCTCTTATTTTTCTTTCTTTATAGGAGCCATGGATAACAGAGGTTTTCAGCAGGGGAGTTTTAGTAGCTTCCAGAGCAGCTCCAGCGATGAAGACTTGATGGACATACCAGGAACAGCTATGGATTTCTCCTTGAGAGATGATGTTCCTCCTTTAGACCGAGAAATAGAAGGTATTATCATTACTGATGACAATAATTTCTTTTTAAAATTTACTTTAGATTTATGTACCATAAAATTTCCTTTCTGACACACAGGACTCTGCATTTTAACACATGCCTAGATTCTTGTAACCTCCACCTCTGACAGGTTCAACCCATAAAGAATTCTTGCAGTCAGACCTCCCTCCTCTCTAGCCCCTGGTACCACTGATCAGTCCCTGTATTCTTTCTTTTTGATAATGTCATATACATTAAATCACATGTCACCTTTTGAGACTAGCTTCTTTACTCAAGTTAATGCCTTAGAGATTTATCTTTTTTAAATGAATAGCATACCCAGGAATAGGATCACTGGGTCATATGGTAAATGTATACTTACCTTTCTTCCTTCTATCCATCTGTCCATTCATCCATACATACATACTGGGAATTGAACCCAGAGGCATTCTGCCAATGTGCTACATCCCCAGACCTTTTGATATGTTATTTTGAGACAGGATCTCACTAAGTTATTCAGGTTGACCCTGAACCAGGGATCCTCCTGCCTCAGCCCCACCCCCCAAGTAGCTGGAATTTCTTTATTTACTTTCTGGTATGCTGTTCTCTGAGTTTTAACACATTTCTTAGCACACATGTCTGAGCTAGTATGTATAACTTTATAAGAAACTGCCAAACCACTGTCCAAACTGCCTATACCATTTTGCATCTGAACTAGCTATAGTCATGACAGTTCCACTTGCTTCACATCCTTTACAGCTCTTGGTGTTTTCAGTAATTTTATTTTAGCTGTCCTAAGAAGTATGTAGTATTAATCATGGTTTCAATTTAATTTCTTTAATGGCTATTAATGGCTAACATCAATGTCATGTGCTTATTTACCAGCCTTAGTATTCATTGATGAAGTATGTGTTCAATTTCTTTTCCCATTTTGTAACTGGATTTTTATTAACTAGAATACATCTACAAAGTGAAAATTCTCCTAATAAGTTGTTTGGTTACCCACTTTCCCATGATTGTATACAATCATATGATACAGTTGTACTATAGTTAACTAAACTTGTGTTAATGCACATTTTAGTTGTTTACCATGTTTTGCTATTACAAATAATACTTCAATGAACAACCTTGTAGATACATATCTGTTAAGCATATGAACAGCATTTTTGCAACTTGAATGTAATAGTGTTTTATTTCTCTGACAACCTCACTGTGTTGAATGAATATCATCATTTTAACAGTTTATAATATGATAGGATAAATAATTTCCATTATTATTTTAATCTTCATTTAAAATACTTTTATTTTGTTTGGTACTGGGGATTGAACCTAGGGATGCTTTGCCACTGAGCTATATCCCCAGACTGTTTAAGTTTTTTTTTTGGCTAGCCTCCAATTTATAATCCTCTTGCCTCAGCCTCCTGTGTTGCTGGGATTATAGGTGTGCACCATCATTCCCTGCCATTTAAAAATAATTTTTATTTAATGGAGTTTAATGTGATTTCACGTGTTCATATGATGTTTCTGTTTTTCTAATGGTCTGATTATCTTTTCTTATTAATTTATTGGAGTCTTTATTATTACTAATTCTTTTTCTGATATAGGTTGGACATATTTTTCTGTTTCTGGTTTGTATTTTATAACTTTGTTTTCACAAATCTACAAATATTTTAATTTTTATATAGTCAGTTATATCCCCACAAAAGTGGGGACTTCTGTGTTTCTTCTTGTACTTTTAGAAAGGACATTATAGCTTTAAGATTAAATTTGTAGAATTACTTTAAAACTATTGTCGGGTACTTTAACTGACCAGTGTTGCTATTCTCAAAGACAGAAGACAAGGAAGTACTGTCAGAATTCATTACTTAGCAAATTTGTTTTAAGGGCATGCAACTTTGTAGACACTTTAGTTTCTGGGAATTAGTAGGGCTTTGACATCATCCTTACCTTCATTAAATTAATTCTAGCTAGCTAAACAGCCACACAAAGTACTTATGATAGTACCTACCTCTTAGGGTTGTTTTAGGATTAAATGAGATAATACCTATAAAGTACTTATAACTGTAAGTGGCATAGAGTTAAATGCTCATAGAGTTAAATATTAAGGATCATCCAGGCATGATGTTGCACTCCTGTAGTTCCCATACTGGGGAGGCTGAGGCAGGAGTTTCACTTGAGCTCAGGAATCTGAGGCCATCTGGGCTGTATAGTGAGATACTATCTCAAACAATTTAGATATTATTGTTACATTATTATTTACTGCTATAATTCTATAGCATAAGTTCTGTAAAGTTTGTCTTGTGTGTATCTGTGTACCTACAGTGGTTCAGAAATTTCACAAAAAAGGGTATATTGGAGCAGGTACTTGAAAGATTAGTTGTTTTGTAGGAAGGAGAACATGCCAGACAAAAAGTAAGGTTTTGCAGAAAGATATCAACAAACATAAGATACAGAGGTATAAAAAGACAGAATGTAAGCTCAAATAACTAAGTCAGAATCTTGCATGTCATGCTAAGAAGTTGAATTAGCTGAACATGGTAGTGCATACCTAAGTTCCCAGCAACTCAGGAGATTGAGGCAGGAGGATTGCAAGTTTGAGGCCAGACTGGACAAGTTAGCAAGACTTTGTTCCAAAATAATAAACAAGGTCTGGAGATGTTGCTCAGTGGTAGTGCACCCTGGGTTTCAATCCCTGGTACTGAAAAAAAATTTTTTAATTAACCTTAACCTTATTATTACTGCAAGGACAAAGCTCCTTCATCTATTTATTTAATAAATAGTTTTTTGAGCACCTATTGTGAGTGAAACACTATTGTAGATACTGTGGATACAGTGGTGGAACTGAGACAGATATTGATCTGAACTTAGATCTTGTGAGGGAAGATAATAAATGAGTAAATACAGTTGTTCCTTGGTATCAGGGGGGGTATTGGTTTCAGGACGTCCTCAGACTCCAAATTTGTGGATTCTCAAGTCCCTTAGATAAAATGGCATAATGTTTATATAGAACCTATACACATTCTCCTGTATTCTTTTTTTTAAAAAATATTTTTAGTTAGTTGTAAATGGACACAATACCTTTATTTTATTTATTTATCTGTATGTGGTGCTAAGGATTTAACCTAGTGCCTCACATGTGCTAGGCAAGTGCTTTACCACTGAGCCACAACCACAGCCCTTCTCCTTCATTTTTTAAATCATCTCTAGATTACTTATCATAACTGGTAAAAAAGTAAATGCAAAAAATAGGGCTGGGGAAATAGTTCAGTTGGTAGAGTGCTTGCCTCACATGCACAAGGCCCTGGGTTCAATTCCCAGCAGCACAAGAAAACAAAAATGAAAAAACACCACAAAAAGGAAATGCTATAAAATACTTGTAGTATTTTTCAGAGAACAATGACAAAATAGTGTACATATTTAGTAAAGACACAGTTTATTAAAAATATTTTCAATCTTCAGCTGAATTCTTCAGATGTGGAAACCTTTGAATACATAGGGCCAATTGTAGACAAATTACATAGTAAATTACTCAGTGTGATAATTACTAGGATGGAAATAAACTGTATGGCAATAGATAATAATTAGGAATAACATTTAAGTAATGGATGCCTCTTTTTGAGGAAGCAATGAATTTGGGGTGAGCCTTTCAGTATAAAAACCACAGGTTAAAAAGGATGAATAGAAGTTTGCCTAGAACAGAAGTTTGCCCAAGAGAGATAACTCAGGAAAGTGCCAGCAGGTGACAACCCTGAATTTAAAGTTCAAAAAAGGGAGATACTCATGGTTTAGTGTTTAATGATTTTTCATATCTGCCTACTTTTACAAAAGAAAACTGTGTTTGCACATCACTTGCACTTACATGCATTTAGTATCCATAGTGGGTCAGTTATAATAGCAATCATGGCTCTATCTGGCTAAGCCAGTTTGGCCTACCTAGTTATCATGGTTGCTTCTAATAGAAAATGGTTTCATAGCATCCATATCACCAAAGTACATTGTGTGTTCGTGTTGGTCTCAGTGATGATTGGGGCAAGCGACAGTTCATTATTCCCATTTCATAGAGTAGAAAACCGAGGCAGATTAAGATTCTTTTTTCACATTGCCTGTGATTATAGATTGGGCTTTTACATGAGAATTCCTTCATCCTTCTTCACTAGATTTTATAGGAGAATTACTGCTTGTGGTTTTCAAAGTCTGACCATAAAATAATGTGGCAGCTTTCTATGAGCCACATGCAGAAATCAGTCCACTTACTATAATCTCTAGTAATGCAGTTTTCTTGCTTTGCTTTCAAATCATTCTTACTTTATTTAATGTTTTCACATGGGGTTTCCTAATAGACAGTACCAACAGAAAAATGGTCACAATGTCTTTGATATGTGACGGTGAAACTGTGCATAAAATACTACATTTTGTAGCAAGCACAATAGCACGTACTAAAAAGATTAGTTGGAAGGAGCTTGAAAGGCAGTAAAAGTGGTTCTTGTTTTCCAGATGGCTAGAGGAATTGATTTATGGGGAATGAATAAATAAATTATGCATGGCATGGCTAAATGCATCTGAGGTAGTGTTATAGTAGTCTGTAAATTAGAAGAAACATAAACACAGAGATCTGAAAGAAGCAGAGGGGGAGGAAAATAGAAAAAGGGAAACATTCAGAGCTGTTCTCATCGTCCATCTGTTCTCACTCTCTGCCTCTGCAATCTAGACCTCATGGTCAGCACTGCATTCATTCATTCATTTAGTATTTATGGAGGACCCAGACATGAGCCCAGCACTGTGCTATTCTAGTAGTGCTCTCCCATTCCCTGCTTTCCCTCACTTTCTTGTCTTTCTACCCAGAATGCATCAACTATTTGCATGAGGAGACATTCCTGGCAGAGAGAGCAACACATGTAGAGGTGCAGCAGCGTGAGAATGCCTTTTGAATTCCAGAAACACAGACTCTGCCTGTCTGAGGTCTCAGGTTCCTGGGGTGTGGAGGATGGTGGCTGTTGGAGCAGAAGGGAGGGCAG